ATCGTGGAACAATCAGTATATCCATTTCAAAATTGATGTTCCTTTAGAACGTAAAAGAAACTTGATTCATTGCCTTGCTACCAGAGCGCGGAGAACATATAAGGACGATACCATTGATGCAGAATTGAGGTTTATTCGAGCTGTTTTCCTTCAAAACGGATGCCCCGTGCGATTTGTGGACAACATTTTAGGTCGTCATCGGTCGCCAAATAAGACCACTACGGAGAAGAAACCTTTCAACGGCGACACAACTGCCAATATGGTGACACGTAAGCTCAGTACAATTGTACAAAAAGCATACCCCGCAGCAAAACTTCATTTTATGTTCAACTCTAGGCCACCTCTGTGTTTTCAACTCAAAGATAAATTGCCTGTTTCTGCCACCTCTTTCTGTGTAGTTATTTACCTGTTCCTGTGGGGCAAGGTACATTGGCCGCACGAGAAGACGTTTATCTGAACGAGTCCGTGAGCACCATCCGGCCTGGTTGAACAGTGGAGCAGTTAGGACTATTAACAGATCAATCGTTTCACACCTAGTGGAATCAAACCACGTAATGAATGTGGCCGAGGCGTTTGGACCCCTGTACTTGGTTCGCACCTGCAGATCTAAAAGGATTAGGAGTCGCATTTTAGCCATAGTGGAAGCAATCGGAATCCACCTACATACTCCCCCCCCTCTTATACTCCCAAAAACAATTTGTAAGAACACTCGGTCTCCCATGGCCAACACCATATACGACACAGCCATCCCCTCCACTCACCCCTAATGACCCGGAACCAGTGCGCATGGGTGAGGACCAAAGTGTGAGCAACATCCGATCATGGAACTGGGATGTGGATTATCTCTTTTCCAACTTGTCTTGATTTATCCCCCCTTCTAAACAGCTTGATATAAATTGTGATGTATTAGTCTGTAGCAGAACCACCGCAAACGAGCTTGTTTGCTACTCACAATGGATATTGATAGTATATTCTGACAATGGAAACATGAATAAACCTGAACAAATTGTAATGGTCCGTTGATCAGTTACAAAATAGTCCGTTTTCCCAACAGGAAGTTGTGTAGACTGAACGATGTTTTCAACTAATACCGCATTTACGGAGTGGTGTTTGGTTTGTATGAAATGCATTAATTAATAAACAATGGAAAAGACAAGCTTCATTTTAAAAGTTGCCTATAATGGAAAACGGGGCGCTTTCAAAATCTTTCGACACCATATGCGTAATCAATGCTGACAGATGTTCTCACATTCTCCGAGGCATCATTCGGCTATAATAATCATCCATCAAAGTACATGTGGATTGTAGTGTACATACGTTATCCGAGTTTTGTCTTTGCTGCAGAAGAACCATCTACCCCATTGCGAATATACTAGAGGAATGAAAATGTTCTATATTTGCTCTAAAGAACAAAGACAGATGCCCATGGATGCCGTCTAGCCTTGAGTTTATCAGGTCAGATACTCTGTCAGGAGAATGAAAGCTACCTTTATTCGTTTTCCTCAAGGAGCTCCAGCCTAACTGGCCTGCTGATGGATTGAAAAAGGCTGAGCTACGGCATTACCAACCATCTAATAGTGCATAATGAATCAATCAATGCACACGAGGCTGATTGTCTTCTAATTACATTGAAATAACAGAACTTTCAAGTGATCAAGTGCTGAAATTCATCAACAGCCGAGTAAATTGTAATCCATCTTCACATAAAACAGTTCATAAGACCACGTTTCCAATCACGGTGACTTACTATCAATTAGGTGTGATGTAATATCCGCTCAAGAACTATCAAACATTCAACTGTTTGCTGATTCACAATCATTTTGTACCCATCTTCCTCACACAATGAAGGATAGCGGAATGTCATTCACTCATTATCACCAGTGCGTCCCGGTCACATGTTTGGTCTACTTTAAAGTCTGCCCTATTTAGCTGTTAGATGAAACACTGTCTCAAACGTAATTTACTAAATGCATTCTCTTGCATAGCTTTTTGTGGTACGGTTTTCGTTATTGCAGGTGGGATATTTTGAGTTGTCTTCTATTATCACGAAATTAAAAGAAAAACGAGACACGTCACAATGGGTTAACCAGGCACATGTATAACTCAGTTGATTCAGAAATGCACTTTCATCTTTGATGGTGGCTTATGTGACTTCATAGTTGACGTGGTTTTACTTTGCAACTGTACCAGTCGATCATTGACTGAGACACAAAACGTACCCACCACGGCAGAGTTTTCAAACGGAAAAAGGTTCCCCATTGCTCCATTTGGATGATGATTCCCCAAGGAAACTCTTCAGCTTTGTCAGGAAGTAAGTATATGAGGCCAAGAAGTGCAATCCAGCTATACCAGATGGATAAGCCCTCTTAGTACCCTCAGATTCAAATGAACTTATCGGAATGAGGTGACTTGTTCGGTCCTGACCCGAACAATGCATAAACTTCTTTTTTGTAATAAAATTATTCAATAACAATAAGATATATACACCCGTATAATGAACGCGCAGCGAAAGCAGGTTTCTTATGATAACAGCTTAAATGCTCCTTTGCATTTGCGAGAATTCAAATCCCACTTTTGAGGTTCAAAAAATGGAACTATTCAAGTTGCCTAGCTCACATGTGAGTATGACATGTCATTGAGTATTGCTTTTCACATAGTTCTGTAAGTTTACACACCTATGATCATTTGACGATTCCGCTTGGCTTTCGTTGACGATATCTGTGTATTAATGATATCATCGTAACAAAAATTGACGAACTTTGTTTTCACTACAGTGATTGACAACCAGGTTCAACTGAAAATTCGGTTCAGTAATATTAAATCGGATTGTCAGTGTTTTATTGATTCGCGATACATCAAACCGAACAATCACTCAGTAATTTTAATGAATGGATACACTGATGATGTACTGATGAATACATTGATGGTGGCATTTGCAAGATAAGGATTAGCAATAATCATAAGAGATGGTCTGTCACTTCGGCAATTAATTGTCTCATGGTCCAAAGTGCACAAAGTGGAACGAAAAGCTAAAACGCCTACTAAGGAGATGGTTGATGGGTGCAGGCCAGTATACAAAAGGTACCGGCAGAGAGTTGGGTGGGCGGCCCAGTGCAATAAGAAATGCAGGAAACATAAGAAAAAACATAAGGAAAGTTGTGGCGTGTGGGAACTGACGTGCGATGCACACAAATGTCCCAGGGGAATCGCGTCGATGTGAGACATGCCATGGGGTGAGAGATGCGTAATCATGTAACTAATATACTGGAAGTTGTGTCCCATTTGTCCCACAACTGCTGCGACGTACAAACAGGATGAGTGGGTGCCGTTGGATGGGCAACGGATTGCGTAAATTGTAGTAATCAACTATCATTATTGTTAACAACTCCCAATAGTTACACAAACCCAACCTCACTAGATTGCTTCTGATCGCGTTTAGCCGTTTTGCCTAGTGGCACCGGAAAATAAGCGATACAGTTGTTTCTGTGGTGATCAAACAGTTATTGCGAACTTTACTTTTTGATTTAACAGTTAACAATGATCATCAGCCTAAAGCATTCCCCTTTAATGTGTACCAGGTGGAGCCCCTCCGTATCTGACAGGTCGTTGTGTAAATCTATTTCATAAGTTTGTCAGAACTTTCTTCATTCATTGAGTTGAACTAGAGGTCAATGAGTATAAGATTAATGTGTGACTGGTTTACGACCCTTGATAATGTTGTAGATTTTATCATGGAAAGAAGTGATGAATATATGCATACATTTACATATGTACAAGTATATGTATGCATATAAATTTTCATATAAAATTCACGCTATGGTGCTAGCACCTGCACAAAATAAATGGAATAGTTGCAAATTCATGAACTTTAATTGTGCATAATATCGGAGCGTAATGAGTGATGCATTCGTTTCGTCAAACCTTCAGCAGTTCGGCCCAAATGTTTACACGCAAAAATAGCACGTCCTTTTGTGAGAGCAAAGCATCTTCTAATTCATTCCCAAAGTATCAAATAGTGCATTCTTTTGAAACCGCTGTAATCAAACTTCAACAGAATGTTTTTTTATCCAGAAGTGAACGGTTCATGGTGATTTATTCTCCAGGCACACTGGCTACTGTTTGAACAGTTTGTTAACCAATGCTGTTCACCAAAAGTCCGTTTGACTTTTCCACGTGCTTGATGCAATTTCGAAACCTCCCTAAATATACAACAGCAACACAATGATAATAATAGTAATATTAATAAACAATCCAAGCCCCTCAGACCCGCGTATCAATAAATTACCCTTTACGCTAGTTTACAATCATTGCGGTAGAAATGAGTACTCCATAAAATTTCACATTATAAGAACAGAGCTCCACAATAATAGGACGATAGGGGTTCTGTCTACGGGTGAAGATAAACATCTTTCCACAAAATATCTAATATCGAGTGATAAACTTTAATCATAACACACCGTAGTATTGTGAGCACTAAGTATGCCTTTCCTCTACACTATTGGTTCACAGACATCCTTGTTTTGTTTGTGCAAATGTGCAATGTTGTTGCTCCCCAAAATTTAACTGGTACCATTATGCACTGATATCTGTTGGATTGAGTGATGATTCTAGCACAGATGTTGCATTGTCTCTAGCAATGCTTTTGACACGTGACAGCAAGTGGTATTTTAACTGATAAAACTCATGACGGAGAGTGAAATATATATTCACAAAATTTCATTCAGTTTTAATGTAAAGATAAATGCGAAGTTCACTTGTCAAACACATACGAAACTAAAAAGGTCGCTGCTGGAATTGGAATTGGTAACTTCACACCACCAGATTCCTATTTTGATCATTCCTTCACACCGGTTTCTGTGGAGCTAACAATGCATAGTTTGTGGCTGCTGGAGGTTTTCTGGTGACAAGCATTACCACCTGGTAGACATTTCACAGAAACACGCAGATGAGCACAAGCCTGTGCATATTAAAACGCATTGACCACAACTCTATATGCCGCTTCAAGGTTTCCGTCTCAATGGATTTTCTATGACAGTTAAACGAGTGTTTTCCATGTATGAAGGGGTTCCCGTTCGACAAGTGTTGTACCGCAGTGAGGCACGTTGTTCTTGTAACGAGCAAGAGGAATTCCGTCCCACAATGGTTTCTTGAGCCACATTTTTTGATTTTCTTCGAGACTGCCAACCACGAGCCACAAAACGTAAACAGGGAATGTTTGAAAACAGACTGAAGAGCCCGTTGCGGAACCTGATAGGTATTCACAAAATAGATAGCAGGTTGCTTTGTCTTTTAATAGAAATTCGCATAGAAAACGTTGATAAAATGAAGCGAACTTGTCAATCAATTTCTTCAGATTGCAACGAAAACATACAGTTATTCAAGTTTTTCTTGGTCACTAAGATCAGAGGATGTTCGTACTCATTCTTTCACATAAGAATATCATGCACGCTTCTAAATTGTGGTTTCAATTGTTTTCGTCACAAGCACAGTTTTTGGAACGGTCTAGGAGTTAGATTTTTGCAAATGACTCGTGTATGTAATTAAACAGGAAATCCTGTGGTAGCCAGATCAGCAACTGGTCCATGCAGGAAATTTTGGCAGGAACTCATGAATACCGTGTTTATATACGGTTTTACAAAACACCGGAGTACTGATAAATAAAGACTATTGATTAAATGAGTATGTGAAGTATATTAGTATTAAAGAAAGGTGAATTACTCAATTTGAAATAAGTCCAAAATACATAATAATAACGATGATAACTAAATGTCATTTCAACAACTGTTCATATCTTGTTCCCTTGCTCAGATAAACCAAACGCTCTTAATGACATCGCTCTCCATTTAGCTAATTGCGGTCAAAAACCACGTTAGGAGAGACCATCCATGTTAGTCCCCTCAACTATTAGGTGCACTTAGCGCCATGAGTTGTTCATCGATGGGGTAGTTCAGCAATATTCTCCTGTTGAATGCTTTTGAGTTACGTTAAACTCCCCTGCATACTGCAACAAAGAGCTGTGGAAAATTATATCCTTTTGATGGGGCATCAGTTACAAGCTCATTGTCGGACTCCTTGCGGCCTTTACAAACAACATGGGAATGAAGATTTACTTCCAATGAAGGACACGTTGAACTATTCTGGTAAAGCTTGCCCCACAATTAATATGGTGCTTTATGACCGAAATTCAGACTGCGAAGTTGATCAAGGCCTTCATTGTTCGATTTAAACAGCTGTTTTTAGTCCACAATGTTTCAAACAAACTTCGTTGAATGCAGGTGAAACGTTGCCACGATTAGCAGTTGTCCGGTACCCGAAAGATTTCACGCTACCTTGCACCCGTGAGATCGCTTATCCAATAGCCATTTCGGAGTCAGCACCGCTGATGATGCATACTGATACAAAGAAGCAGCGGTGATGATTATCGACTAAGTTCATCATGCATTTTGCTTTAGTATTGGGGATGCTTATCAAGGACAAACATCAAATTAATTTCTTGTCACTGGATTGGTAATTAGCTCACTGCACGTAACTCGAGGGTTTACGATCATTCTGCAAAACTAGTGAGGAGCACAATGCGTGATAAATGCACAAAATAACCGACAGGTTTTATTATCAATAACAATCTCAGATTCTCGTTCTCAAAATTAGCCACCCCTAGCAGACAAACTGGAGTAGCGGCACTTATTTTGGACTTGTACGGAAGAATCACGCTCAACTAATCGGAAATCAGTAAAGTTATTTTAAACCATCATAATGTTACTTGCTCCTCTATTCTACGTCGCTACGTTTATACGTGATCCGTGAAAATTCATGCATGTACCTTTAGGACACTTTAGTGAATTTTACATCAGTACGTTATTCAAAACACTTCGACTTACCGGCGGTTCATCGTGAAGTAGATAATCGGATTGAATACCGAGTTACTCATGGCCAGTCCGTAGCAGAATATGAAGATGCCTGGTAAATACGGACATGTATTGGCCACACTACTGACACGGAGAATCAGGAAGAATAACTGATACGGGAGCCAGCAAATTGCGAAAATCAACATCACTGCACACATCATTTTGACCGCCTGAAAGGTAACGGGCAGGATTGATGTTTTTTATTTGTTAGGGCACACGCCCAAATAATGTTACGGGTGGAAAAATGTTTTCCGTAGTTTCCGAAAACATTTTTCGTCCTATTGTTATCATATGAAAGCTCATAAATCTTAGGTGGGTATTTGAAATACACAATGCAGTGACCTAGTTCTATGTTATTCATTCAAATTGCAGAAAAAGTTCGTCAGTTAGGCAAACAAAAATCAACACACTAACTTCATGTCCATTCGTTCGAAGAGGTTATGGCTCGTAGACTCCTGTTTATCAGGATTTTATTACTATTACTATTACTATTACTATTACTACCTTTTAAATATGCTTTTGGTATACATTTACGTCCCTTGAACCAGAGAAATGTCTTTTGTAGTAATCGCTTTGTGTTTCCAATGGCAAACTGCAGAATGCATTCAACACTGAAAGACCGAAAGGTTCATAGTTCAGCAGTATTTTGCTGGAGCATTCTTCCGAGTTACAGTTAACTCAACCCCTTGCAAATTTAATCTACTCTATGCTCTCTACACCGTGGAATGGCATGCTGCATTAACACTGCATCCAGTGATGTGTGATGCACTCCCAATTTAACCGACTTACGAGTAATCCAATTGCGAGCGGTGTTTTAATGACTTTTATTGACTGAGTATCTTTTCAGGAATCCATATTTAGTGTTCAGTTGTGCATGGAACTAATCCGGACACGAGATCAATGTTAACATCTTATATTAAATACTTATGAAAAGTTTCCCTCATGGGTCGTTTGCTCATCCTAACCATCATAACATTTTCGGCTATGGTTGACAACCATGCGCATCCAAGCAAATTATCCTCACATTAAAAACGAACTTCAATGCTAGGATTACCGGCAAGCAGGCCGAATAAGCGTGAACGGTTTGTTTGCTTCAAACAATCACTGACGTCTGATCTGTCACACAATCCGTCTATAAGCGGTGGAGACTGATTTTTCAAATAATCCCAACTCTTTGCGATGATTCAATGGCTATCGTGAGATACACATTTTGTTAAGCTTCAATTCCTCAGAAGCTGTGCCTTACTTTAGGAGCGCAATATTACAATTGCACTAACGTCTTTGCTTCTGTCTGGTTCTAAAACTGCCTAAGCATGTAGAAACTATTGTGCAAACTTGCAAAAGAGAAGTTGATCAAGGCGTAAGTCATTTAACAACATTCGGTGAGCGTCCATTAGAACGGTAATTCCTGATAAATGACTGTTTTATCGTTCACATTTTGTGTCGAAAATCAGATGATGGGTTTGTTGTCCTATATTGTATCATGAAAAAATGTGTTGATACCAACTAAATCATTTACCGGAACTGAGGCTTTTTAATTTCCCCTGGGATTGAAAATAATCTAATTTGACTTAAAGACGAAACGGCAAACAAGGTCGCCTTCAGTGTTTCATAATCTCGTCAACAGAAAGCAATGCCTAAGCGAACAAATACAGGCTGGAATTAACCAGTAAAATAACAAACTTACCATCATACTGTGCTCTCATTGTCTGTTCTAAGGGACTATTTAGATCTCTGAGTTTCAACTTCGGCATTCCATCTCTATAGGAGGCACAGATTCATAAGTCGAATGATGTAATACAATGGTCCGGTATCCAAGAATTATAATACAATTAAATGTGACAATTTCTACAATCATCAAAACAGCAGTGCGAATACATCGACCCAACGTGGTATGTCGAATGCGGAACCTCATGGGCAGAACGCAAGCATTCAATCCCCTCGGCCACCGGGCATCTAAATAGACCATTTCTGACTTTCTATTGAGGCTAGTTCTGAGATGAACGAGGTCTGTGGCATGCAAGGAGCTCCCAAAGATGAGTTGTGCTATATAATGTAAATGTAAATATGAAACGGTCTAATCAGATGCCCGGTGGCCCAGGGGGTTGAATGCTTACGTTCTGCCAATGAGGTCCCGGGTTCGATCCCCAGTTGGGTTGATGGATTCGCATTGCTGATGAGACCCAACCAGGTCGAAATAGGTATCCAGTGCTTCCTAGGGTTTTCAGTTCACTCTTCATTTGCCATATACACGACGATTTTACCATTTGAAATCAGAACAGCTTTAAACGTTTTTATACGGTGCCTTTTGTGGCATACCTTCAAGCATTTAGCATACAATTAGGTTTTATAAACTGCATTTATTAAAAGCGTAATTTTTTCAGCAGGCTGATTTGTAAATAAATTGCAAACGAGATTTCTAATTGATCCAGCAAAAGCCAAAAATTGCATCAGACTGTGGAGACCCAATGGGGCACTTCAAAATCGAAAGCCTCAATTCGTTTTGAAAAATAACTGTTAGGATACACATGCTATCACGTTATAGAAGAAGCGCGGTTCTGCTGAATGTCTTTTGTTGCATTTGGTCATTTGGAAATTGTTCGCGATAGAGCGTAAAATGACCTGAAGTTCGATGTGTTCTGCTTTTGTAGTAGAGTTCGTAAACGGAAACACGGGAATCAGTTTTGCTCACGTGCTCATGCATGCACGACCACCACCACCAGAAAAAACAACAACAACGATTTGATCATGTTGATGCCCAACAGATAAGGAGTAAAACGTTCGAAAAAACATTACATCTATAATACTTCTCAGCAAGCACTATAATCGCTTAACCGATATCATAAATTGCTATCGCTGTCCTGGATTTTGCGTTGTAGTCAAGGGTTACTATGGAATGCCTAAGAAGGATGATACATGTCCACTGGAATACTATGAGAATCGTTCTCATAGAACATTTGGCTAGAAAGTCAACAATACAGTGACATCATATGATCCGTATTAACGCCGTTCTCTTTTATTGCCTCGGTAGCGACAGTCACACGAGAGTAAAAGAGTGAATTTGAAACACAAATAATCGCATTTAGTCTGATCTTTCTATTTGCCGACTGCCGTTATCTTGAATCGCAATACAGTCAACTCTACGGTGTGACGTGGTACAGTCCGACTTCTTATGTCTGGTAACATTGTTTGTCTAGAAAACTATATTTTGTATGAAGAACGAGTTTATGCTCCGTTAACTCATGGGAATTAATGCACATTTATAGCAGCGCCTACTAAGCTGTTGACGAATGTGCACCCCTAATTAAGCTTTCAGTTGTAAAGTTCCTCGATAACAGTTGTCTAAGCAACAATGTTTCCCACTCATGAAATAACAACGAGTTTCAGTGGTCCAGATTTATCGTACTACTAAAAGTTGAATGCCCCCGACGTTTACAGGTTCACAATGTTCGCAGTGTCACATTTAACGTGTATTTCTGTTTTTCATGATCATTTGCGTATAATGTTTGAATTGCAGCAGATAACATCGTTTTTTTGTTTCGACAAAATTAAAATTGAGCAATTTGTTATCTGCTTATGTTTATCTCGCTGTAAATCAAATCATAAACGATCGGGAAAATATGTTTCAACTGAACGATATAGCAAGCATCAAGAATATCATGCCGAAAGCGTAGCAATCAGTCAATATTCAATGGAACGAATTGTTTCCTTACCCAGCACAGTAGTCAATCAGTCTATCTGTATGATGCAAGCGGTTGCGAGACAGAAACCTTGTCACGGAAATGAGAACAATTTTAGATGAAGAATATTATTTTTTTATTTTGAGCTGTTGGCAAATCAATGCCTGTAGGAACAGACTGGGGTGTTTAGTTAGATCGGAGGGTAGATAGAGTTTTAGATGGAATATATATATATATTTTCGAAACTGCATCATAACAAAAACACTTACATGGAGCGGAATGAAACTGTGAAAAGTATCTATACATTTTTCGGATTATTTTGGCTACAGATATTGTACAGCTATTATAAATTGCAGAATTGTTCGAGAGGATACGGTATAGATGGAATATTTTAGGTAAGTGTACAACAATCCTAACTTCATTGGAAGTTTTATCTGCGTCAAAAATGAATGATGTAAGGGCTTTATGCGATTGAGAAACCCAATAATAGTCAAGTGGGTTTCTACATAAACAGATCACATTACGCCTCAAATATATTGCAGCAACTTCGACTTAACAATGAGTTTAATTCATGGTTAACCAGCACATTTTGAAACATTTGGAGCCCTATTATGTTGGAAAAGGAAATGCAGAAAACAAACCATGCGAGATCAGTTCAAACACCAAAACACCGACTAAAGACGTTTAGGGCATTATCGGACTCACACAACAAACCCACGTTGGGTGACCGAAAGCGTATGAACTTTAACAGTAGCCTCCCTTGCCTATAATCAGTTATGTGCAACTACACACACGATATAGCCAAACTAGATTTATCAGTTCACTTCATTTGTTTATTTTGTTTAATGTTATACGAATGCAATGAATGGCGGTATACGAAAATGATTCCTCTCATGGTGTTTGTCATTTGACTTGCCTGTTCAATTTATTTTGACAATCTGATGATGTCAATAGTGAATACAAACTGAAGTAGTCCGGGATTCACGTTTGAGTCAAGTTTGTCCATTCCTAGCTCAACATCCGAGGAAGAGTAGTGACCGTACTCACTAGTACTTTTCAGTGCCTAACAAAACCCCTTCTCCTGGATAAACATACTTCTTGGAATTCGACAACATGAGCACTTCCACGATTCCACTGATGCTATGACAGAAATAAATCCATAAAACTGACGAAGTTTACACACTCAGCCAAGCATGATACAAAGATTACCAGCAACCCCCTTCATGCTGGAATTCAAAAAAGTCACATCACTCAGTAATAATCATGTATGAACTACCGAAGTGTAATTGATAACAATCTAATAATTTCATCTTGATAACCCAGCAGTTGAGCAAAGAATGAATAGAAATGATGCCTTGCGTTGTTGCTTTTGATCCCGATCGCGTCTGTTGAGTGTCATTAAACCGGAACTAAAGAAACTTCCAATAATTGTACTTGAATTTATTTTTAAGGAATAGTATTAGGCAAAAACAATGCAAAATTGATCTATTTTGATCTAGGTGGATTCAGGAAGCTGAGTATCAAACCCGGTGTACAAACGAACATCAGAAAAACACTTCTCATCTTCAGATGAAACTCCACGGCAAACGTGTTGTTTTTATATTTTAGAAGAATGCTTCCGTCGCAAAATTAGTTAGATTAACGTTTTCCAATTAACTAGTTCCAGTCTTATTTTATGGAGCGGACACTTCGACCCACGTGAAACGATTCACCTTGCCAAGTTTTACTTCAAAAACAATCGCCAATGATTGCAATAGTATTTCGATTTTCCAGTGGCAATATGACTCCTTACTGACCAAGCGCTGTATTCGAATCCGTATTACTAATAATAACTCTGATTTTAGAAATAACGTTTTCATTTGAACTAAGGTTTGCGTTAGATTCTTCGTTTTTTGTTTTATGAATAAAGCATAAACAATATGCAGTCATGAAAAGAAAAGAATCCATTGGAACACATAATAAAGATGGCTGTATCGGAAGGAAATATCACTGAAATTGTGCATGATAAATGTATACATACCCGTCGTTTGGATCGTGTATTCGCGATCTGTGCCCGCGTCACCTCACCAATTTCATGGTGAAACCACAATCGAATGGATATTGGAACATAGGTGGCGGTGAGAACGACCAGTGGTAGTGCGTACATCAACGTAAATAGAGTGAAGTCATAGCTATTTAGCGAATAAATGCATACATGGTGATCATTAGATAAATGAGCTTTATTATGGGTATATAAATTAGGTCACTGGGGTTCACTGAAAATGTGTTAGAAGGTCTTTTGTTTACAAAAGTAAATCAGGTTCGAGTTATTTTTATGAAATTTCCAATTTTCATATAATAATAATGATGAAATTCTGATCATAACAAAACGAACTGCCAAACTGCTATGAGAAAATTCGAACCAACTACAAGGACATTTCTGTAATGACGATTCGTGCTTCACTAATTATACGGTTTCTGAGTTCCCTTGCCAGTGAACCGCAGTGTCCTAAAAACCGCATTCCATTTAGCGTGTTTGAACAATTCGTGTACAATAATTGGTAATCCGCAATGACACACGTGAACTCCATTGCGACCAAACCTTCACAGATCTAATTTTGACAGCTTACAGAATGAGTGAACTGGGCGGATATGATGAAATTGTTTTCTCGAATAATTCCAGCCACAAGATGCACGTAATCCGGAGGTTAACGTGATTTGGAACGTTTTATTCTGGGACATTTTTATGAAAATAGTTGAACGTTCAAAGTATAAATATGGGAATTTACAAGAAATGGTGTTCGGTATGAGCGAATCCTAGTTAGTCACTTATTGACAGATTGCTGGATGCCTCCATGCAAGCAATCACAAGATGTTGCGATTCAACTCAGAAAAATCCCACTTTATGTTGATGGCGTCGGTAGTGGCATAACACATTGTAGCTGGTTTTATCGAGGTCAGATGAATCGCCTGGAATTCACTTATCATCAGTAGAACCGCAGTCAGGAAGGGCTTAAACAAAGTTTACCTCTTGAGCGTAGTGAGCCATTTGTACACAAATTTTCACAGCGCAAAAGATAACGGTAGAGAATAAATTAATCAAAATGTATTCAAATGTGATGTACTGAGTGCCATTTATCCTCTCTGGTCGTTAATAAATATTGTATTATTGCAATTAACGCCGGATATTACATACTTATACCTCATGGACGATTTGAGCAGTGCCGAATTTTCACTTTTCCTGAACTGAATATATATATATATATATATACATGTAGTGACTGGTTAAAAAAATATTCTCTGTTCCGAAGGAAGATTTGTTTGAACTATCTCGTATTTTAAACTTTTTCAGATGGAATAGCTGGTGGATATTGCTTTTTGCAACAAATTCTAGGTATATTTCTTTATTCACTACTGAAATGAAATAAAATAAAATTGGATTGGTGAAAGATGGACGATGACTACTTGTGTGACCTACTACTCACATTTATGAGCAGTATGTTGGGTAAGCATGTTAAGAGGCGGTTAGCAGATTTTCGCGAAATCTGAGAGCAGAGCAAAAAAAATAAATGTTTTTACTACAAATAAGATGAATAGATTGCCGAACTGCATGACAACTGTCAACGAGAGTCTTTACTGAAATCACAGAGGATCTTTTTCCGATCAAATGTTTCATTCTTTATAATCAGATTCATTATCTATTTATGTCCTTCTTCCAATGAATAACTCTCTCTAGTCCAGCATTTGCCTTGGGAACAGTCTCACTAGGAGCGTAATAAAATTGCTGTACACGAATGAAACTCGAATTCCCGAAACAGCATATCAGGTTAGCACTAAAGTATTCAGCTAAGCGTATGCTGGTCCATCTGGAGTTCGATCATTGCTTTATTTCACAGAACAATACCCCTTTCAAATTGCCTGCGCGATCTACAAACTTGGATTCATCATTTGTGGAAAACAAAGGGTGGATAGGAATGTAATAGAGTATTGCTAATGACTCTGTCTTCAATCAACAGCTATTTTCTCCGTTTGTTTTTAATGCAAGTTCGTGAATTACGGCTTTTGTGCTCACCCGTACGTAGATCAAATTATAAGTTACAATAATCTCTGGCAAGTAAAATATCGAGGTCGCACGAGTTATATTGCGCCTAAGGGTTGTGGAACCATACAATTTGTACTAAGTATCCGGCAAGAGTTCAGTAATTCTACTGTTGCAGTGAGCTTTCTGACGGTTTTGCTGTTAAAGCTTAGAGAACTTACCAACCACATAAGCACCTAGGACACATTTACGATAAGCTACAAATTATCATTTGGAAAACAATGACCTACAGCGTACGTATTCGACAGCGTACCAAATAACATTATTTTTTTATCTTTCTAAATAGCACAGGTAATGGAGACGCCTCACATATAGAGTCACAATTGCAATTTATTGTACATCCTTCGCAAAACGTTGGCTTACAGAGTCACATCTCAAATTCATATTCGATTTAACCGGCTTTTGGTACCTCTAGATAGATGAACGTAAGTCAGTTTATTGAGAGCTTTGGATCAGTGCAACTAAGAATGCAGTATTTTTCGTTCCATCGGAACAAAGCTATAAACATTGAATTGATCAGATTAGCAACGAGGCAAATATTCCTCAATTGGACCGTGTGCTCACCGTACACCCGCTTAACAAACAGTAACTAGATACGCTTCTTGAAAGCGTATAACTCGAAAAACTGAATCACTTCAGCGATGATATGTGTGGTGGATACGCTTAAATGCATCTCAGTCGGAGGACTGCGAGCAATTTACACAGTGCAGTAATTGCTTAATACCAAGCGAGCTTCAGCCCTTTCTTTTGTTAACTAAAGGAAAATGTTTTACCTCTTGGTTGCATGATCAAAAAAGCACCTTAGCCGTTTGAAACCCTATAGTGCCAACGTATCAAGGAAACGTTTGTAGGCAGTGAAGTAAAAAGATGATAAAAAGGGTTTCGTAAATTCCACTGGCCCCAATAAACTGACAGACAAAAAGGGTAGGGTATGGAAGACATTCACTTGAATGACCTTCACTGTGTAAGTTTCTTCAGTAAACAATGCCTTGGTCAAGTACAGTGTTGTTCCTGAATTATTCTGATGTTGTTCCTGGTGATTTTGAAAAATCCGGTTCAACTATTCTATCATTTCTGTTGCAAAGAAATCTAAATAGTCGGCTAATAATCACCTGATCGTGCAACTTAGAATGCAAACCTTCAGCTTCCAACTGGAAAACGTGAACCGGTAATCCACTTCTCAGGGGTGAAGAGGAAATTAATAAGGCAGTCGTTACACTGATTAAAGAAAACCTAATTAAGTCCACCTCACACACCCTGAATGAAAATGTGTGCTGAAAACATAATTACTAGTAAATACTCCTGATCTGAAACACGCATTAATAGAAAACACGGGTTGGTGTAGACAGACACTTCTAATTTTCTATGAGTCAATACATCTGGAAATAGAAGAACTATAACGTCTTTTCTAAAATGGAATACCTAGGCTCACCATGATCACAATAACGTTTTCTCTCAGACTAATGTGATTTGAAACAAAAATCATATTATCATACTTGTCCCAGTTACTGATCATAATACAAGACAATGTAAATCTGCCTATAACCGCTTGGATAATTCAAACTTACGCTTTTTCCCATTCCGGAGACCAATCAAATATACACTGTCTTCTAATTTCTTCCTGATTGGTTTCCGTATTCCAGATAGTGCCGTTTGAGGAAAGAACTGTCTCGTTCTGCGGTAAATCTTTTGGCACAATATCAGCAACTAACAAACCCGGCAATCCAACGACAAATGCAATGGCCCAAATCAGCAGAATAAAGCACAAAGTCGTCTGCGGACTGGCCCTCGGGCGGAGCGGGAACATGATTGCAGTATATCTTTTCGTGAAAAGAGAAATATATACGTAGAGAGAGAAGGCTGAGCACAGAAAGGAAGAATACACTGTTAGTGACTGCGATCAGAGGACAGAAGACGAAAAAAAACCCAGGAAATTCATTGATATTGCGAGAACAGCTATTCCAATTCCACTCATTTGAATAAACCTAAGTGCTTTGTGAAAGCGATTTTCTGCATTCGTAAGTTAACCACATCGTATTCTAGATCAATTGAATCTTTTACTCGCGATTCACTAAATAGGGTCGCAGAACCACTACATCGACCGTTAATTTGTTCATTTATTTATGATAAGATTAACAAAATAACACAAAATTCAAAAAAGATTTCAAGAAAATAGAGAAAAATGTTTTAAAAATAATCAGGTGACCACCACATTTGTAGGGCAGAAAACAAAATAATCAGTTTACAAACAAACTTTAGGTTGGAATTTTTATTTTCTACATTTGTTTCCACATGCATTGTTTTGTCGTCTTGGGTGTGGTTTTCACTCCTCTTCAGTGAGGTTTTTCCTCACCATTGAAGGGTCTTAACACGGACCAAAAAGCTAGCATTGGTCCTTGTCAATCAGCATGAAGAACCATTAAGAACAAACCATTTCATTTAGCATAGCTAGTCACATCATAATTCCGAATGAGGAACCTGCTAGAGGACAATCTATAGAGCACAAATTCACTTTTGGTTTTCGCCTTCTTCCGTTTGCTATTAGATGTTTGATTCATTATTCTTACATCGTACAACCGAGAAACGTTCAATTCCTAGATGATGACAACACAATCAAATGGATTTGTGTTTATAGATATTCCTCGCTTTTTCTCGTTTGAAAAATATTCATCAAGGTGGAAAAAAATAACACGAAGCAGGCTGCATACTATTAGCATACTGTAACAAAGGTTCCACATTCCATGACTCAACCGTTGTATTTATTTAGAACCAGAACTATTACTTCCCGCCAGATTATTATTTACGCCTAATAAGTTGCTGAATGTAGTCTTTTCTTATGTTATACACCATTCATTATTAAATAAATTTAATAAAGAATCATAAATAAAACAACAATCTGCATTGGTTGATCGTTGGAACGGCAAACCTGGACTGATCATCGAAAGTGTAGCTGATGGGCAAGGATTTCCGGTAATGCCGGCAGCTAGTATACATCTTGATGGCTACCGGGTTGCCTATGACGATTTCCAAAAGCGCATGTGAGCACGATACTGATGCACATCTCAAATCATAAGTACTCGAGAACATTGGTCCGCTCGGAAGCTCAGAAGCTATGCAACCCACAACCAATTATATCGCTATCATTACGAATAAGTTGTTCGGTCAAATTTGTCTTTCCTGCAAAAGCAAGTATAAACAATTACTAAAGATTAAATTGCCACGAAAATTCGGTCGGAAATATTTACTAGTGTTTTTATATCATATGTTTTTCTCATTTATGCTGTTAGCTCGAAAATACCTAGAAAAAACTTACGGCAAAAAAGAAGAGAGTTTACATTAGTTTCGCTGACGTTGTAAGGTGTTTAACTGCTTAGCAAAAATAACAAAGTACTCCTCCTTGCAAACTACCAACGAGTACTGGCATCCAATGTAATTACGATTCTTTTTCGATGTTTGCAATTTGATTGACTTTATCCAAGTATTGCCGTTGTATTCTTGAGTGAGGTAGAATGCGAAACTCGTTTTCCTGAAACACTGTCAGTCCTTATTCGGTGCAGTACTTCAATGATAGGGACACGGCATCAATTGCAGTTTGTACAATAACCAACCATGCACTTTCGACTGGAACAATATGTGTATTTGGTATCACTGCTTAATCTGAACCGAAGATGTCCCAGAAAATAAATTATCTCAAAAAGTACAAGGTACCCAACCCGCGTTGGCTTTCTCATTGGCTTTTAAGAACGGAAGCTCAGCGGGGTCTCAGAGTTAACGATACCTCTGGATTCGGTGTGGGAAAGCGAACAGGTTCAAACTAAATACTAAAATCCGTTCATATTGCCAATTTACAAGAAAGCTGAAACGTCGTCTTGCGAATGCACATCCGCTTGTGAATCAGAGAAAGATCACTTCTATTTAAATGCTACAATTAATTGAATCATGCTTGGATGAGAATTCGAAAACTGTGCTCGGGATGCTTCTTTTGAAAAAAAATGTCAAGATAAATGACATCAAGGTGTTGACTTTTTACTTTATGTCATAAGATTAAAATCATAATCCCTTTTCAATATTTGAATGATAATAGCGAGTTCATAATCATTCATTTACCTCCTCTTAATTCTGAACTGAGAAGAATATCGAATGAATTTGGGTCCAATTCTTACTTATTTTTCTGTCGCCTCGGATACCGCTGATAAATTTTGATGGGCCATTTTTTGTCCTTATGCAAAAAATAAAAAGCATTTGCGTTTTTTTATCACAACAGAATATAGTGCAAAATTCAATCGGCAAACCTCAAAACTAATTTTTTGGTCACGGAAAATACAGACCTGTGCCGTAAATTCAAGAGTATCTATATGCTTTAATTGATTCTGCTATCTAGTGGGAAGGCAGTAAAGATGCCCATTATCAAAGTGAGATTGTGGTGGCAGGATTTGAACGTGGAATCTCACTCATTGACTCTTTAGGGAATAAAATGAACACACGATTTCGGTGGATGAAACCAAACAATCTAAAACAAGAAATTCGAACTGTTAAAAATTCACCAATACATTAATAAAGAACGACATTACAGGTATTTTTATGTGAAACGAGAAAACTGATATCATTTTATAACCCATTTTATTGTGCAAGAGATTTAGAGTAATACATATCCCTTTTTTAATTATTGTTTCAAACAGCCACCATCGTACAGTTGGATGCATGTTTCAATAATGTTTTTATTATTTTTTCCGAAACAACAAAAGGTGGGAAGTTGATTACCACGAGACGAGAAACAAATGGATGAAACCATTTACTAAGCAAAGTGTCCTTAACAATACAAACTCTCTGTAATGCGAATGAAAGGTCAATTTGTTCAACTAAACTCAAGCACATATCCAACATTTATAGCACGTGAGTGCCATTATTTTCTAATGAACTTCCAAATTAATTGGGTGCTTTCAGATAACCCTTCTGTACTTTAATCAACCCAGAGGTTTCCATTAAAATAATTGTCGGATCCGAGAACTGTTGGATTAGGCACGTTTGATTCTCCGGCTGACCTCGGTCTAACAATGACATCGTTTTCATTGATTGGGACTTATTGACGTGCTTTCGAAATTAGCGAGCGAGAATCAACTCGGAACAAACAAAAAGCCAAGTGGCGTGCATTTGACCAAAATCAACGGTTTCTCAAAAGCACTATTTATCTGAATCAAAAATACTGTTGATTTGGAATACATTTTCCTACAATGCACGTAAGAAATGATTCAGAGCGTCGTTAGGTTCTCCGCCCACACATTGAGAATGATCACCGTCGAAGGCCATCCACAGGGCCCGTTTAAGGTTTACGTTTTTTAAAATAAACTAGGATAATCTTTTTATTCCCAGAGGTTTTCTATTGCCATGGTGCTACAAACGTGAGCATCCACGCGGATCGTTCAGCTCACGGAACTTTAATGTTAACTAGGTAGTTCAATATAAAAAGGTTATTAGGTTTGACTCTGTAAACGAACTCTGAGACCGTAAGGAAGTGTAGCCCCAGTTTCATTTTAAGTTCAAAGTCTATAGAGATTTTAGATTTCCTAAAAGTCGGGATTCTAGGGCAATCAGTTCATTTAGATGTCCCGTATAATAAGGTGATGGTGATTTGTCAATCAATGTCTCAATCCCACGAATCTCATGCAAAACGTCAACCAGGAAAAATAATTTTGTTTTGAACACGTGAATGACATTAATAAAATCGATGTCAACCACGACTTACCGATCAGCAGTAATGCCAATGAATGTGAATACACTAATCGCGATATTGAAAGCGGTAAAAAATTGTGACAGACGACAGAACCAAATACCAAACACCCAGTTGTCAGTGATTGCGTAATGCACGTTGGGTAATATTTGCAGAAAAGTTAACAAATCTGCGGCGGACAAATTGAATAGGAAATAATTGGTCACAGTACGCATTCCTCGATTGCGTAATATCACGTACATCACTAACAGATTTCCCACGGTTGACAGAAGAACCAGAACACAAAACAATGTGCTAATAACGACAATCCATGGTAGCGAGAATGTGGAATTTGCGATTTCCGTTTCATTCATTGTTCCGGTGCCAGTGCGGAGAATGTGAGCAGTTGGTGATAATTTATGTTTTTTTATCCGAGCATATGCCTCGTATCATGTAGAGAACTAAACTGTGCGCAAAAGGTAATCATTTTGTGAATACTTGTCATATAAACCGTTGACCAAATGTTAGCCAATAGCGTCCGTTTGCATAGATGATTGCTGATTGGTTACAATATGCCACAGCATAAACGACCTCGGTTATTGAGGATGCGTTTACGCGGCACCCGTAAAAAGTCCTCATAATTTCTGACAGGTAAAGAACTTATTGCACAAAGTCAACGTGATACTGATAGAGTACATGAAGTGTAAAAAGTGTTCATTTTATGGGGGGAAATATTTAAGACAATGTGTGCAAATTGAGTATTTGGGATTGCCCCAATTTCAGGGTTTTGCATTCAATTTCACAACTGGTTGATGAGACCACTTATAACTTTCATTTATTTACAGCGTGTTGCATTCGTTGCATCATACTAGGTACATGATGCCAAACCAACAAACCGTTTTCGACCAATTTACTTTGTAAAGTTCTCTGTATCTCTATAACGGTAATTGGTACAAATATTTATGGCACTGATTCGCATGGAGCTTCTGAATTATTTGAGTTTTTTCTCGTTCCTGACAGTGAATTAGATATTATTTGTTGCACAGACGTCTGCGCGGTATACATTTTGCGGGACTTAGATTGCAATTGATTGTCTGTGATACTAGTTACCAATCAATCAATTCTAACACACACTCAGTTGGATGACCAAGTATCATACTGCGGCTCTCACTTCATACCTAAAGCTAATAGCAAAGTGGTTTTCGTTACAGCCGAATCATCAGTATTACTAGGGATATTCTTCACCACCAACTGATATATATAATTATACCTCACAGATTGTCTATTTATATTTTATAAAAACAAGTATGCGTTACAAACTAACAGGATGGGCACAGCCCATCCACAACAAGAATGAGATAATTATTTACTATGGTAGCAGGCAATCAAATGAAAATAAAATTGTCGACTAGATGTGTTCATCTCGGTCGAACACAATACATGCCCAATGCGGTTCGTTTTGAAGCATGTAAATTAAACACAGCAGTATTTTTAGATATCGCTTTCGCTTTTGTTTTCGTTAATGCGATCAAACAACTGATGACCCGGAGTGGAGCAAACAGGTAAGCACCCAGCTATGGTCATCGACTGAAGTACCATCGAGGTAAACGACATGACATGTCTGAAGGAGATCTAACACAAATGCTCCGACTCCTGTCCTAATAGCGTTGTTATCTCCGTTATTAATTAGGAAGCCTAGGAAGGACTGTGAAGATCAGTAGCCATAGATTTTTCCGTGTTTGTTGATCAGAACCCTTCTGTACTCTGTGAATATGTTACGGAATAGCTTAATTCTTGTTTTAACCAGTGTTTCTCACCCGAAACGGTCTTCATTCGCATATTCATCACCGCTACTAAAACAGCTAGGCAGGCGGAAAGAATAGGCCTATACACGTGGATAAAGATCTCATGTCAAGCGGCTTACAATTTCGATCAAGGCTGCAATAAATTGGTTGAACAAATTGTACATCAACACCATTCTGTGAAATGCTAGTTGCTGTGGCATTTGGAGAGATATCGACCGCCTGTGTTGCAGCACCTATAAACATAAAAGAGAAACTGTCGACCTTGAAAGACTAAATTTCGAGTTTAGTCCAGTTTAAAGTGCGCTGCCCTGCCAGACTTAGTCAGCTCTACGCCAACACCAACTTTGGAACCTGCTATGGTCCCTCAACTGAAAAAAAGATGAATAAAGCATCTGGTTCGGATGAACTATAACCCATGGTGCTCAAGGCATGTGCGGACACTCTTTCAAGCCCAATTGTCTACAATATTCGAGCACTGTCTGGTAAGTGGATAAATTCCTGATATTTGAAGACTAGCCAAAATTACTCTTATTCCAAAAAAAGGAACCTGGGAAGTATTGTCCCATCGCCTACACTTCAGTCATGCTGAACTTATTTGAGAGATGCCTGATGAAGTGGGTTGACGCTGAGTCTGCCGAGGACGACATACATCAACTTGCATAACGTTCTTCGCGCTCAACAATTGATGCTGTTGGATGCATTGTTCATTAAATAATTTCCGCACTACCCAAGAAATGTAAGACCGTGAGAATGGTGGTCTTAGATTACAAAAAGCTTTTAACAGTCTTGATCGATCGGTATTGCTTAACCTGATTACCGAAAGTAGTGTTAATCCAAACGTTAGTAGATTGATCCGTGATTATTTCACAAATAGAAAGCAGTTTACGTGCCTCAACGGTAAAAATAATCTTTCACTGCGTCGGCTGCTTCTGGTTTTCTGCATAGAACGAGTGTGAAAATCAGTGCACCAAAAGTAAGTGATGATCTTTTGTTTGTTTAGGAGATTCGCCTTCTTACCTGTTCATTACTTACAGTAATAAAATTTTGCCACTTTATGAAACAATATATATACGAATTCTTTACCAAACCTTTCAGGGAATCAAGTTTAACAGCATAACAACGGTACATAAATAATTTGATTATATCAACCAAAACGTTAATAAGGAAGAAACGCTGAATGTTTATTGTTTGGTGTCAATGCGGTCCATTTAAAAATACCTTCCCATAAGTATTATTGTGAACTTCACATATAATCTATAAATTACTACCTAGTTCAATAAAATTACAGCCCATCTGAAAATGACGAACTCTTTTGCATAGCAAAACTCGTAAATATACTTCGGCCACCTACTTTGAAATCCATTACAATTTACATGAATAAAGTTGTATTATGCACAAATTATCGACTTTCTTAAAATGTCCCCATTAGTTTCATCCTCCTACAAGGCAGGAACTGTTTGCTCCTTTCATCCGTGGGGTCTTTGAGTCACTTTGAGAATGCAAAGTATCACGATCGGCGTGAAAGCTAAGTAATGACTGAATAAACTGATCTTTTCGACTGACTATCCTTCGAACTTCACTTTCACGTACAATCCTCGATTCATTGATTCAGTCAGCCGGGAAGCATTGAATACATTAGTGGATAAGAGAAACGAAAACATGAGGTCGACTGAAATTCATTATGCTTGTAACTCTGCACACCGCTCTGTTTATTGTTGTTTAAAGTTATGTAAAGTATTAGCATCTGTGCAGAAAACAATGATGAAGAAACAATAGGAACTGAGACCACAGGAAGAGGAGAACAATGAATTATCGTTTCAACGAAATCCATGAGAAGCTCTGCACGTTTTTATGGAATATAATCAAATAAGAGTATTTGCCGTCCGCTTCCATATCCCGAGGTGTGGCTGAGTTGACTGTTTGGTTTCGGAATTTCTATTACGTGTCCACAACCACATTACACATCCGTCTCGTTAGTACTCTTCAATTGTGTCACTTCCAGGAAGAAATTCCAATATTAACAATTTATTCGAAAGTGCATTGAATTAACAAAATCTGGTTTGGTATTCTATCTCTGTTCTCGGAGCGTCTGCAGCATAAAATCAGCTTTTTGCTGTCTTTAATATCACCTATCAAACATTGAGCAAAAAAGGGAATTTCGGGTGTGATCAACACCGATTGGTTGAGATCATCGAAGTCAAGATCGTGAATGGTGCTACGTAAACAAAAATGAGCCAAAGTTAGTGGGAATTACCTTGATTAGTACTAGCAATTCCTGAGATGCTTTTCGGGGAGTATACGTGAGTTAAAATGCTTTTTCTTAGTCGATTTTCAACACGTTAGCATCATGTCGCTATATTAGTGGTGACAAATTCAGAAATATTTTTTGCTTTCATCAGTATTGCACATTATAAAAGAGCATTCGAAAACAATAAATTTGACAAACTGGCTCGATATCGGAAATTGGTTCGTTATATCCTTTTGAATATTGCATTAAGACAGTAACTCCGTAACTCTAATAGATCAATAATAGGAATCGGAGCGACAGCTCCCTCTGTCACGCCATCATTTAATGAACGAATTAGTTTAGCCCCTAGCATGGAATTTTTCATTAATTTTTATCATTTGATCCTTAGTTTACTCAAATTGTCAGCAATTGTCCTCACTAGCCCTCGTTTTCAGCGACTGCGAACGAAGCTCGTGAAGTTCAGACAGAGACCTGTTCATGTGTTTGTTACGAGCAGATCAGATAACATTTCTGTTCATGGATCTCTGCATTTATACATTCAGGGAAACAAAATGTTTTTGGGTTCAGGTTGAAGGTTTGTAGTTCGTAGTAGTGCGAGAAAACGGTAAAATCCAGTTTACTTTTAGAATGTAATGATAACGCTGATGGAAACCTTGCATGCGACCACTCGAAGTCGTTTGTCGGGGAGTAGAACATAGAATGAGCACAATCTGATCGACGGACATCCGTAATCACCATCATTTCTGTTCAAGTCAAACCAATTTTCGTCCAAACATGTGCAGGAATATTAGCTTCTCCATTCAAGCCATGTATTCCAAATCCCATCAAGTGTGCAGGTTCGTCCGTAGGTTTTCGGTCACTTACCACAGCTTAGTCTAAAAGCAACTTGGATAAACAGAAGTAAAACATTTTCAACTTGTTCAATAAGCTGATGGGAGAACCACGTTCGGGCTGTCCTCAACAAGAGTCTGCTTAGAGCTACCTATCGGCGTATTCGATCGTTTACCATCGGTTAGAGACTAGACTTCAAGGAAGCCTGATCACAGCACTGAAAATTGTTTTCATCACGCAAGAATTTTGGTTGTTTTGGATGACAAAAGTAATCACTATGAAACAATGCAAAGGTGAATCGTTCAAAAGGCGGATTATGCTTATATCCCTTGCTCTGCCCAGGCATATAGAGGAACAATTCTGACATAAACAGCTCCCAAAAGCGTAACTAGTTTCTTCATAAATGGACTGAAGTATTTTCCTGGGGAGGAGAAATGAACCAAGCGGTGCAACCGTCTGTTCACTTTTCAATATTTCAGCTTCTTGGAAC